TTTCCCGATTTCTTTCTTTTTTTTCTGTGCAAACAAACAACCTGACGCGCCCTCCTTCAGTCACCTTTAGCCCCGATGCTCTGTGAGAGTCAACCTGCAGGTACAGCACGTGAGGGCTTGGTCCCCCTCACGTGCACGCACTGGAGTTATAAAATATCAGGATGGACGCGGAGCAGTCGTTCCCTTCTCGACGTCTTAGTGTTTCGCATTTTTGTCACACTTAAAGTTTCAGATCAAACACATTTTAATATTAGTCAAAGATAACGAGAGTAAAAACAAAATGCACTTATTAAATGAGGATTTCTTCCAAACTCACCTGCCCTGTGTAAAGGAGTAACCGCCCCCTAAATTGGCCCACCAATCTTTGCTGAATTGATTTAATTCAGACACTTTTGGGGGTTTCCAGCATGAGATGATCTAGGATAACCTTAATCAGATATATGGCCAGACTTTGACTAGACCACCCAGAGGTGGACCTGCTGGTGTGGTTTTTGGATGGTTGTCCTGCTTCATTCATTCTCCTTCAGGATTTCCTGGTAGAGAGCAGAATTCATGCTTCCAGCAGCCACAGCGAGTCGTCCTGGAACAGCAGAGCATCCCCAGACCTTCACACTTCCACCACCGTGTTTGACTGTTGGTTTGATGTTCTTCTAATGGGGCAATTGTGGCTCGAGTTCGCCTTGTAATCGGAAGGTTGCCGGTTCGAGCCCCGGCTTGGACAGTCTCGGTCGTTGTGTCCTTGGGCAAGACACTTCACCCGTTGCCTACTGATGGTGGCGCCAGTGTCCGTCAGGTTTCTGTCAGTGCGCCCCAGGGTGGCTGTGGCTACAATGTAGCTGCCATCACCAGTGTGTGAATGTGTGGATGACTGGTTCTGTAAAGCGCTTTGGGGTCCTTAGGGACTAGTAAAGCGCTATACAAATACAGGCCATTTACCATTTCTAATGAAATGCTATATATCCCAGATGTCACAGGACCCATCTTTTAGAGGACTTCAGAGGAACTGCAGTTTGTGACAGTCTGGGTTGGCTTCATTTTTCAGCTCCAGAGGTTAAAAAACTTAAACTATAATCAGAAAGCACTAATCTGACTTCCCAGTCCCACTTCCTCTTTTTCTTTGTGGGGTGGGGGTGGGGTTAAGCTTGAGTGTAAAAATGTACACCCACTTATTCAAAGTTTTTACATTATTATTCATTTGTTTGAGTTTTTTTTATCCAGTGGAACCAAAACAGTGACATCACAGCGATTACAGTGTAATGTTGTGATGTAAGCAAAACAAGTTTAACATACGTTTTTAATTTGTGTTCTCAAAGTAAACCTGAAGGAGTTTGTGTGATTGCGAATGCCTCGGGTCATGTGAGGCAGCACTCCATCACTCTGATTGTTATTCAAACAGCCCTCTGAGAGCCTGGAGTTGTGTTTTTGGCTTAGACCACACAGGATGTGTCACTGCAGGATGTTGTGGTATCCATTAGTGTGGACGATAAGTTAAGTTTGTGTCTCACTTTGTGCCCCAGGTTCAGTGCTGTCTGGAGTCGACCCAGGCAGTTCCTGCCGCCCGGCTTCCCTACAGGGTGAAGCTGTCTGCTGGAAAACACTACGCCTGGTGCGCTTGTGGCCACAGCAAGAAGCAGGTGAGGCTCAGGTTTCAGAGACACTTGGGGCTGGAGGGTCATCTGGGGTAAAAGCTAACGCAGCTCATCAATCACGTAAAGTTTCGCCTCATTTACTCCTGTTTACGTTCCCACCCGTCTGAAAGCCACGCTTTAAGAAGCACCGTGCTGGTTGAGACCAACTGGTGCTTGATGAGGTCCCAGTAACATAAAGGAAACTGGATTAACTCTAATCCATCGTCGGTGTCTGGGCTTTGTGCTTTCATTTCAGTGTGTCCAGGAAAATAAAGAAAAGACCCTCTGGTTTACACGTGATCCTTTCCTTTATGATAAACACCTGACTGATGTTTAAACGGCATGAAAAACCTAACCATGCACAGATGTGATCACTTCGATTTATCTGGGTTGAATTTGGCCCATCTCTCGGGCACCTCTGGACCCCTCAGTGGAGGACCATGTGACCTCTAACCTCACAGAGAGCAAAAATGTCAACTTTTACTTAAAACTGACCTCAGTTCTGTATCAGGGATCATCACTGGTGATGAAGACTGCTCACCAGCGACAACCAATTTCAGTCCACAGTTTCAAAGTCCTAATGTGTCAGCTGAGGACCGACAGCAGGAGACCTTTCAGTCTGTCTTATTAGCAGCTTATAGCCGGGTTCATCCACAGTGATCGCTTACTGCCATACGTCTGCGGCACATGCGTCCTGTCATTTTTAGGCTAATAAAAGTAAGTTTCAAGTTTGTGTCTTCAACCCGCTTTTTTTCCTCTTCTTCAGCCTTTCTGCGACGGCACTCACACGAAAAAAGCTCCGAGTATCTCTCCTTTTCGCTTCACCCCCGAGAAAGACAGGACAGTCCTGCTGTGCGCCTGCAAGCAAACCAAAAACGCTCCGTACTGCGATGGCTCGCACCTCAAAGTCATCTACCAGGATGTAGTGAAGTATCTGAAAGGCATCTTCAAATGATGTCTTCTTACAGGAAATGATGCATCATAATAATGTTATCCAATAGTTTTATCAGGTTAAAAAAGTTGTCTTTTTTATATTAAAATCATGTAATGCTGCTTTGTTTGTTTTGGGTAAATCAGATGGAGTTTTTGTTGTTATAAACTGCTTTTGTATGTTAACCTTTCAGACAAGTATATATTCCATTAAAATGCTTAGTGGGAAAACTTTGTGTTAATGTCACAATGACATCACCTGAGGCAGCATTTCCAACACCTCCTGCGTGACTCCAGACCTCCTGAGTCGGCCCCTTAGAGGAGTTTCTACTAAAGTTTTGGTAACCTTTGAAAGTCTAGTGTGTTGGCTTTAAAATGTATTCTTGTATGCACATGATAAAAATTAATGAGTAGGCAGGAGAAGGTTAAACCATGTGCATTATGTGTTTTTGTAAATCTGCTTTTGGTGCAGTCCAAATAAAAATTACAAATGTTTTTCTTCTTTTTATGGAGACTTTTTTTCTTGTGTGAAGATCTTTAACTCCACTGAATTACTCATTGAACGGACCAATCACAATAGCCAATTTCATCAGTGCTGTATTCAGTTTATCCAGTGTGGTACTGAGTCACAGTCAGATTACTGCTTTTGTCCAGGGGTGGATCAAAAAGGGTGGCATGGGGTGGCTTGTGCCACCCTAAAATGATCTCTTGCCACCCATAGTGCCACCCTAGTTTTGCATATGACAGTGTTGTTTATTAACAGATAGCATTAACACTTTGAGCCTGGCTATTCTAAAACTGAATACATTGCATAGTGTTCCCCCCCACCATTAGCACCATAGCGCAAGCAATTTTAAAAATTTAACCATGTAACAATTAGATTTTTGTCTAACAAAAAACAGTGAAACTTAAGTTAGACTTGTGTGTGTAAATGTGGTGCAGCAATATATTTATAAATATATTTATTATAAAGGTTATACAGTACATAAAATCACGTTTTAAGTAACTGAAATGTTTAATCATGTGGGCTACAGAAAATAATTAAGACTATATTTATATGAAACGTGTATACTTACTGCATTTGGATCTGCATATGTGTTGTTTATTTTGGG